TCGCTTGAGCCCAAGAGGCAGAGGTTGCAGTGAGCTGAGGTCGTGCCACTGCACTCCAGCCTGGGTGACAAGGGCAAAACTTTGTCTCAACAACAACAAAAAAGATGCTGAGGAGGACGCGGGCTCGAGAGAAGGCCAGGCCGGTGAGACTGGACGTATGACCAAGGGGAAGAATAGAGGGAGAGGGAGGCAGGCAGCCACTCCCAGGTGGGCTTTGAAACCGTCTTTGCAAAATTGTAACTGAGGAAATTATGACAGTAGAGGAAATCAGACCTAATTGACTCCATCTTCTTTTATTTTTTTGAGATGGAGTCTAGCTCTGTTGCCCAGGCTGGAGTGCAGTGGTGTGATCTCAGCTCACTCCAACCTCCACTTCCCGGGTTCAAGCGATTCTCCTGCCTCAGCCTCCTGTGTAGCTGGTACTACAGGCACGTGCCACCACGCATGGCTAATTTTTTTGTATTTTTAGTAGAGACGGGGTTTCACCGTGTTAGCTAGGATGGTCTCGATCTCCTGACCTCGTGATCCAACCACCTCAGCCTTCCAAAGTGCTGGGATTACAGGTATGAGCCACCACGCCCGGCCTCCATCTTGCTTCTAACCTTTAAGCTGTCCTTGTTCATTCGTGGGCGTAGGCCGTAGGCCGAACTAACTTTGGGAAAGAATTCAGTTCATAGTTTGACTCTGAAACAAAATTGATAACAGCCCTTTCCCAAAAAGACTCCCTTCTTGCCTGGGGTCTAGTCTGCCTTTGCAGGACTAACAAATTAGCTATAAGATTAGAAATTACAGTTTAGGGTCTTGCAACCTCTGGCTCCAAGAATCTGAACCTCCCCAAATTACTCCTGGGGATAACATCACTATTGTAAAACCGCAGATCAGTGCTTGAGATATTTTGCAGACCCTGCACTCATGGATCAGCTGATACCACCCAGACTGGTTATGTGGCTCAACCAGTTCTGCCATCCCACTCAGGAATAGAAGACAGCAAAAAAACCTCACTTCAACCTTCTAAGAGTCCATCTCCAACCTGACCAATCAGCACTCCCCACTTCCCAAGCTTCCCTACCTGCCAAATTATCTTTAAAAACTCTGATCCCCGAATGCTTGGGGAGACTGATTTGAGTAATAATAAAACTCTGGTCTCCCGCGCAGCCGGCTCTGCGTGAATCATTCTTTCTTCATTGCAATGCACCTGTCTTGATAAATCAGTTCTGTCTGGGCGGCAGGCAAGGTGAACCCACGGGGCAGTTACAGTTTCATCCCATCTCCAGCGGGCAGGCTGCATTCCTTTTAACAAAGAACAGGCTCCTCACAAACAGCTGATCAGCCCCCCGGGGCCGTTTCTCATCTCTGGAGGCAGAAGGTGGGCCGGACAGACACTTCCTCCCTTCGGAATTTGCTAACAGCCCCGTGTTTGGGAGAGACCCTCTCTCAGCAAGCAAGCTAGAAGAGGAGGGGCCTTCCTCTTGTGTTACAGTGATTTTCGGTTCAGGGAGTGAATCACAGGCAGTGAGGCATGGGCTGTTGGCTCAGGATTTCCTGGTGTTTCCTGCCTGGGAGAGCGGCCCCGCTCTCAGGGGCAGCAGCCCACCACTCGTTGACGTCAACTCTCCTTCCAATGAATGGGTTTCCTTTTCCGTTTGGGAAGACATAGGATGTCAATCCCATCGACCCTGTCTTTCTAACCCTGGCACCTCCTGTCTGGGAAGGAGCGAATGGGACTAACGAGAAGGCAGTGGGTGAGGGCAGGAGGGTGAGGGGGACTAAGACAGATGTCTTTTCGCCCGCAGTCATTGAGATGGGAATCCAGTAGTGTCCGACCCAGATTATGAGCCGGTCAAGCAGCTTTGGGACACCCTGAGTGCTCCCAGGCAGGCTCTCGGGGTCACCTTTGTTGACTGGGAGGGTCTTATCTCCTCTACTTGTTTTCGGTAACTAGCCCAGAGGAGACCTCCTGACAGGAAGAATGCATACGTGCTGTCATCCTCTAAATGGAATCATTTAAAAATTGCACAATCTCTGAAAACCATTATTTAACATTTTTGCAACCTTGAAATGTATGTGTCCCGGGGCAAAGTTGTGGTTGCCTCACTCTGGTGATAGCTCTGTCTGTTTTAAACTAGCCATGAAGGCCAGAGGCTCTCGGTGTGTGGTTTCAGAAGGGACTGGGTCATTCCTTGATGTTTATCCTTAGTGTAAATACTTATTAGTTTGACTTACTATGCTATCAATATTGCTGTCTGTCACTAGCAGTTATTTAAGATTGCGAATTCCCAGTGAGCCTGTAGCATGGCTGTTTCAGTACCTCGCACAGCAAAGCACCCATGTAGAAAAGCTGCCAGGATGATAACTACGCTCCCAGGGCCCATGCGGCGCTCACCGCTGAGCATGACGGTGTAGCCATACAGCAAGTGTTTACTCTGCAACAACTGTGGGCCAGGAACAGTGCAAAAGTGGAACCATGCAATGGATGGCCTCATTCGAGTTACTGGAAGTTAGGAAATTTGATGATTCACCATTTCTAACTTGGAAGGGTTGAATCAAATTCCGTGTAGTATTAGTAAAGCCATCTAAACGCAAAAGGCAACTCAAAGCCAATCTGAAATACTTGTTGATTGTCAACAATTTGGAAACTCCTTAATGGCACCAAATAACCAACGCTTACTTTTGGGGGTATTTCCTTTCAGTCTTTCTGTATACATACACACATTTCCTCTTTCTCTCTCTCTCACCTTTAATAAAATGACATGGTCTCTACAGTACTCCTTGGTAATTTGGCTTTTACACTGAATGTCATTAAATATTCTTCCAGAACATGTTATTTTTATGGATGTGTGGTCTTCCAACATACGGATGTATCATTATTCAACCAAGCCCTCTACCCCTCAAGATTTGCTTCCACACTTGATATCATGAACAAGGCTGAGATGAACATTCTTGTGGGAATGTGTAGTTGATTTCCCTGCATAATCTGTGGAAGTGGACTTTGGAGGGTTTTTTTCAGTGTGTCCATATCTTTTTTTTTTTTTTTAAGACTGAATTTCGCTCTTGTTGCCCAGGCTGGAGTGCAGTGGCGCGATCTCGACTCACTGCAACCTCTGCCTCCCTGGCTCAAGCGATTCTCCTGCCTCAGCCTTCCTGAGTAGCTGGGATTACCAGGCACGCACCACCACACCCAGCTAATTTTGTATTTTTACTAGAAATGGGGTTTCTCCTTGTTGGTCAGGCTGGTCTCGAACTCCCGACCTCAGATGATCCGCCCACCTTGGCCTCCCAAAATGCTGGGATTACAGGCATGAGCCACTGCGCCCAGCCCACGTGTCCATATCATTTTAACCTCACAACACAGTAGACTATGATTATGTCCTACAGCTTTTCCAGTTTCCAGGTCCCAGCCCATGTGGGCCAGCCAGGGAGCTTTGCATATTACAGATCAGAGATCACCTCTCCTGCCTTTCAGAATGCCACGAAGTTCTCCATTTTAAAATTAGCTTCAAAAAGTGTTCTTGGGCCAGGCGTGGTGGCTCACGCCTGTAATCCCAGCACTTTGGAAGGCCGAAGGTGGGTGGATCACTTGAGGTCAGGAGTTTGAGACCAGCCTGGCCAACATGGTGAAACCCAGTCTCTACTAAGAATACAAAAATTAGCCAGGTGTGGTGGCGCACGCCTGTAATCCCAGCACGCCTGTAATCCTGGAGGCTGAGGCAGGAGAATTTCTTGATCTCAGGAGGCAGAGGTTGCAGTGAGCCAAGATCGCACCATTGCACTCCAGCCTGGGTGACAAGAGTGAAACCCTGTCTGAAAACAAAAACCAAAAACCAAAAAACAAAAAAACAGTGTTCTTGGTGTATGAGGATGCGCTCCTTCAGCCTTTTGGGTATAGAACTGTGTGTTGCTGGGGCCAGTGATATCTGCGTACTTGGGCACATCAGGAGGGTGGAAGACTCTGTTCATTTCACATAGATTTGCTGAGACTGTTCTGTGCCATGGAGCTGCAGCCTCTGGGACTAACAGGGTGAAAGATGATTCCTCCCTCAGTCTGGTGGGGATTTTCCGTGGTTCTGTGCACCTTAGTGAGTCAGCGTTAACCAGGTTACAAGACGTCATACAAGAACAGACTTTGTTCAAGTTTAACACCTTAGGGGTACTGTACAAGTCTAAAGAACACCCTATCAATTAGAGCCTCAAACAGTAATTCCCCCCACTTTTCAATGAGGATTCAATTTTTTTTTTTTTTGAGATGGAGTCTCGCTATGTTGTCCAGGCTGGAGTGCAGTAGCGGGATCTTGGCTCACTCTAACCTTCGCCTCCCGGGTTCAAGCGATTCTCCTGCCTCAGCCTCCTGAGTAGCTGGGATTACAGGCGCACGCCACCACGCTCAGCTAATTTTCTGTAGTTTTAGTAGAGACGGGGTTTCATCACATTGGCCAGGCTGGTCTCGAACTCCTGACCTCATGTGATCCACCTGCCTCTGCCTCCCAAAGTGCAGGGATTACAGGCGTGAGCCACTGTGCGCCAAGGAGTCAATTTTGACAGCCAGTGGCCAGGCTTGGCAAGACTTTGGGAGGCTGAGGCGGGAGGATCGCTTGACCCCAGGAGTTCGAGACCAGCTTTGGCAACACAGTGAGACCCCCATCTCTACAAAAAATTAAAAAATTTACCGGGCACGGTGGTACACGCACTTTGGTGGTCCCAGCACTTAGGGAGGATCCCCTGACAGCTGGTGAGTTGGAGCCAAATGTGACGCTGCTCTTAGAGCCCCTGCGCCGCATCCTTTCCTCCGCTACCTGTGACAAGTGACTGCAGGAATGCAGGCCGCCTGGAGCCCTTGCGGGTGTAACGGGCAGACTTCCGACCCACTCCTGTGGCGCGACCACTATTCCTCGCCTGTGTCCCCCAGAGGGGAAACTGAGGCTTGGGGGCGGTGCAGCGCCTCCCTCCCCGGGCCAGGGCTCTGGCGCCTGCGCACCTGCACCGTGTCCGCGCTCGCCTTTGTCAATAAAGTTCGTGCGCGCCGGGAGCGGAAGCGGAAGCGGTGAATCTCCATGGCGGTGGCGGCGGCAGCGGCGGCGGGACCCGTGTTCTGGAGGCGACTACTGGGCCTCCTGCCTGGCCGCCCAGGGCTGGCCGCGCTCCTGGGACGCCTGTCCGACCGCCTCGGCAGGAACCGGGACCGCCAGCGCAGGAGGTGAGAGAGGCGGCCAGGCTGAGAGTGCAGCCCTCGCGGCTGCGGCCCGGCCCCCCGGCGCTCAAACTCCCGGGCCCAGCGTCCTGGGCATCCGCAGCAAGTCCCTCCCTGGTTCCTGGGCCCATTTCTGCCTCCCGGGGGCTCAGCGCCTGACCTATGTGCTGCTTCACTGGCCTTCTTGAGGGAGGGTGGGCGACTCGTGTGCCATTGTTCAGCGGGCGGGCCTCCTGCGCAGCCCGGCCAGTTCTTGCTCCCCCTCTACACCGTGCTTGTTGGCGAGCCCCGCTCACCGTGCACTTACACGTTAAAAGGGGGACTGTGTGTGCATTCAGGAGCTTCGGTCAAGCTCCAGAGGCTGCTTATATCATGGTTTCGGCCCCAGGATGTGAGTGTCGGAGAGTTCAGAGGGGTCTTTTCCTTAAGTAATCCTGGCTGTGAGGTGACTTGGCGTGAGTGAATCAGCCTTGCTGGGATTTTGTGTATACAGCGTTTCTCACATCCTGCCGGAGAGAGCTGTGAAGCAATCCTTAGTAACACTCAGGCATGGGAAGAGGAGCCACTCGAAACACTTTACACATTTCAAAGGGCCTGTGTTCTGGAAAAGTACTGACGTTATGTAAATGATGAGGTAGGCTTTGGAGCAATTTGTTCAGGCAGTGGTCTTTTAAAATAAACATTTGCCAAGAACATGCTGACCCGAGGCTTGCTAATATTAAAAAAAGGGGGATAAATAATTCTCTTGTGTGCAAATAGTTTTCTTTTCTTTTCTTTTTTTTTTTTTTTTTTTTTGAGACGGAGTTTCACTTTTGTTGCCTTGACTGGAGTCCTATGGCATGATCTTGGCTCACCGCAACTTCCGTCTCCCAGGTTCAAGCGATTCTCCTGCCTCAGCTTCCCGAGTAGCTGGGATTACAGACACGAGCTACCACGCCCGGCCAATTTTGTATTTTTAGTAGAGACAGGATTTCTCCATGTTGGTCAGGCTGGTCTCGAATTCCCAACCTCAGGTGATCCGCCCACCTCGGCCTCCCAGAGTGCTGGGATTACAAGCGTGAGCCACCGTGCCTGGCTGCAAATAGTTTTCTTAATTGAGCCTAACGCTTGATCTTTACCAAAAAAAAATCTTAGAACTGCTTCCTTTAGTTGAGATTGCGTTGTGTTAGATTTTCTATCTGTACCTGTACTCCTTGGGTGAGATTTGACCTCCTGGGGTCAGACATCTAGTACAGAGATCTGGGGTCCAGTCATGTGTGCTGATTCTAGGTACAGAAAAGAGCTTGCTGTTCATGGTGATCTATGGTGGAAGATTTTCATCGTAAACTCAAGTTTGATTTAGGGGAATTTTTAGGTGATAGAATCAGGGCAGGATGGTGCTCTTGGAAACCTGCTAATTTTCACATTGGTGAACCCCGCAGGACTGGGACTGTAAAAGAAATGGCCTCTCCATTTTTTGCATTTTCATTTTTTCAGTGTTTAGCAAAAGACCTGCTCATCTCAGTGGGTGGTGAAGTCAGATGACTTCCACGTCCTGGCATCAAATCACTGAGATTTGGTTTACAGTTTCAAAAAAATGTTGTACCCTCTAAGACAAGATTTAAGTGACTTTGTCCTTTCTCTCTATATGTTTAAACTATATGAAAAACAGTTCATTATTAATCATTGTTCAACA